AAAAATTATTTGAGTGCAGGTTTAGCCAACTTGTTTGTCACTGGTTTGCAGTTAATGCTTTCATGTCAACGAGGACTTAAGTCCACAACTGACGATATCATCGAGGTCTCTTTTTTGATTACAAAGTCAACACACAATTTAGTCTTTAAAGTCTTTAAGACGGACCGTCATCGTAAAAGTTTCATATCTTTTTCTGTAAAAAATGGCTGTATTTTGGTACTAAGTGGGTTATGCACAGTGACAAATATTATTTTGAAAATGCAGTTGTGTTGCAGGAAATCTGTGAGCTCAACGGTGAAACAGGACGCTCTCCTCTAGGCGTACTCTTGACGTCGTCTGCTTGTATTACTCACGATAAATGCAGGTTTCTGTTTGCAAGTCTCTGTAGTTTTGAGCAATCTGTAATGTAAAGCTGCGGGCTGTGGTCAAAACTCATTTTTAGTATTTTGAAAGCAATACTGTACTATGCGTCCCCTGAATTGCGAAAAAAAATACATCGCCAGCTGGAAATATTTGGTCAGGGCAATATTCTTCAAAAAATTTTTTCAGCATCTCACTATGAAGAAGTTTGTGTGATCGAAACACTTATCAACTTCGGTTCGCTTTTTTTGGTGACATTGTTTTAATTAGTAAGGTTCTTTGACGTGACGCTTGTCAGTAAAGTTTTACCAATTTTAGTTTTCATTTATTTTAAATTAAGAAGGAAGCTTTTTAGGAATGAACCCCAACGGAGGGGGGGTTCCTCTTACGTTTTTAGCTATTCGTAACGAGAGGCGTGACTTAGTAAGTTTATTTTTTCTTCTTTAGTATTCACTTACACAACATTTTTGTCTGCACTTTTCATAGTTTTCCCAGGTGAGTGGGCTTTCGCAACTCTGAAATATTATTTCTTCAAAATTACTCAGGAGATATATACTATTCAACTTCATCAGAAATTCCTGACAGGGTTCTTTAAAGTTTTAATTCCTAGAGCACCAAGTCTTTGTGTCGTATTTTTTCATTTAGTATTTTTTAGCTACAGCGATTGGTCAAATGTGGTTGCGATACCACTTATCTTTCCCATTGTATAGATTATGGTCAGTGAAAGTGTACATCATAAGTGCATGACTAACTTGATGCATACATTATCATATTTTTGTGAATTTGGAAGTAGAGTTTACTGGTTTTGTTGTGATTCTACTTCATAATGAAGCCGCTTCTGTGGAAGCTTTGAAGTTCTTACTCTGCAATGGGATGTAAGTTTAGGCATGTATCATTATTTCAGCACGTGCTACTGCAAATCGTCTTTAAGCAGGAATTTATTTTACAGTTTTTTGGAAGGCGCTTTAAGATGTTGTAGATAAGGAGGGCTCAGTGAATAAATTTTACGGTTTGAA